AGCCTTTGGTGGACACTGAACTAAAGCCCAACCAATCAGCAGGAGCCATTCAGAGGAAACGGGTTCACCTTGCCCTCCGGGACTTCTTCCCCAAGCCGTTCTGCTCGGGCATTTTCCACCAGCCTGTGCACTCACCCACCACTGCCCGGCTCCTGAGAACCACACCAGAAAGCTCACGTTTAAAACCCCTTCCTCCCTGAGGAGGGTCTCCTGGAGCCAGGGGTCTGAGCTGACCCCAGCCCAGCTGACCCCAGTTTAGCCAAGAGCCATCCCCAGATCCCTGACCCTGGGACAGTCGTTCTTTCCATCACTGGCCAAAACACTGTCCATAGGGAATAAAAGTAGAAAGCAACCAGGTACAGGGGCACACGCCTGTCATCCCCGTGGCTCAGGAGGCGGAGGCTGGAGGGTCGAGAGTTCAAAGCCAGCCTCTGCAACTTAGTGAGACTCTGTCTCTAAATAAAATACACAAAAAGGGCTGGGGATGTGGCTCATGGGTTAAGCGCCCCTGGGTTCAATCCCCGTACCAAAAAAAAAAAAAAAAGAAAAGAAAAAGAAAAGCACGGAAGGCACAGCAGATTCCAGATTCCAGAGCAGGGCGTCTCCTCTTGAGCTCAGCTAAGCAAATCCAGTAGCTTGAGACCCGTGGATGCAAGGTGTCCAAACTGGGTGAGGACCTCGGCCAGGCAACTTCGCCTTTACTCACTTACCACGGTGGATTCCTCATCCTCTAAACGAGTTCCCAGATAAATAAAGCCTCTTAGGAAAATGTCGAGCCATGACTGCCGTTTCCTTGTCTGATTTTCTTTCCAGTTTGGGGCATCAGCCTCGCCCTTTAATTCTTAACCAAAACGGAGATAGAGCCTGTTTATCCTCCCCAACACGGAGCAGCCGCACCCAGCAGCCCGCACCCCAGTGCCTCCGAGAGGGGATTCTGTTAGGTCTTCTCCTGGAAGCCCCTGTCCCCAGGGTCCCACTGGGCCTGCCTTTGTCCCAGGGGCTTCTTCACTGTTACCCAGCTCTCCTCAGCACCCTGCACACCACAGTTTACAGCTACCCGGGCCCAAGTGCAACCCCACGTAAACTTTTGGGTGAACAGAGACAAATCGTGGAATCGGTACCTGGTGCTCACAGGCAAGAAACTCTCAAGTTTGCCTGGAAAGCCATCACGATAGGAGAGTCTTTCTAATGGCCTGGGGGAGCCTGGATTATACCTGGGTGTTTTTTTTGGGGGGTGGGGGTGGGGGGGTGTGTTTCACTGTAGCCAGGTCTCACTTCTTAGAAAAAAGCAAAACAAATTTATTTCCGGGTGTCTGCAAACGTTAAGGGCTTTTCCGGGGCTGCTGCCAGTGCCCCTGTTCTTCTGGGGGGCCGCCTCTTTCCCCTGTCTTCATTATTCCCGCCCACCCCCAGCTCACAACATTGAAAATGAGCATTGCCAAGAAAGTGCCAGGAAGTTCACACAGACGTACAGTGAAGCTTGCAGCTCATGGCTGTCACAGCCCCAAGCCCCCGTAGGTCCCCCCGTAGGTCTCATCCAGGGCTGATGAGTAGGGGCCCCAGAGCCTTCCTGAGAACTGGTTCCAGACCCAAGACACAGAGAAAGTTCTGAAGAGGCCTCAACCTTTCTAAAGTCAAGCTCAGGTCCTTGAAGGTAGGCCCAGGTCCCCACTGTCACGGAGATGCCACCGCCAGCCTCAGTTCACACCTCCCTTCTCCACGTGGGACGTGTCCGGCTGGCGGATCCCAGCGCAGGGCCTGGAGGCTCCCCCTTGTTCTCTCCAACTGGGGAACGAGATCACTCTATTTCCCCCCGACACCTCACTTAGCTGCAGGCTCCCACTGGGGCTTAAGTTCAGTCACATAGAAAATCATCCAAACGTGTGTCAAACCAAACGTAGCACAGATATGTGCCCCCCAGGGGCCAGAGGAGGTGTGGAGGACGGGCAAGGCTGCTCCCTTCCTCTTTCCTCCATTTCCTTATGAACTCCTGTTCCACGTCCAGTGTGGGAAATGAGAAGACCTCTGGTCCACGTAGTAACTCAGGGATCCAGGATGCTGCTCTACCATCTGGAAACGTGCTCTCCAGTCACTGTGGGGAGGAGACCGTGGGTGGGGGGTCATGCACTGGCTCTTAAATGCTTTGGCCCAGCGTGAAGCACATGGCTTTGGTTCCCAGACCCTTGGCCAGAGCTTCTCATATTGCAAACTGTGGAAGAGCTGAGGAGATAGGGAGGGAATATTCTGACATGGAATGCACAGTGAAATAAATTCTCTGGAATCAGGGTCCTTGTAGGACCCTCGTCAGCACGAGGGTTTCAGAAGAGCCAAAGCCACAGCTTCCTGGTCACTGTCCTCACTGGGGGTGTACAAGTGGCTGTTGTAGGCCATATAACGTCCTGATTATGACTATAGACTGTGCCTGCTGAACCCTGGGATCCGAGTGTGGCTCAGCACCTCATTTATGTGTAACCTTGCTCAAGTGCCTTCTCTCTGCCTCAGTTTTCATCCTTGTATGGGAATATGGATAGCACCTATCTTTCTTTGAGTGGTTGCAAAGATGAAATGGGTTACTATTTGCACAGTGCTCAGAATTGTACTGGGCACATGATGGGATTTATAAATGCCAGCCCTCACCACCACCACTATTGAGTTCCAGATATAGTTCTAGGTGTGGGGAGAATAGACATCAAGGCTTCTGCTCCCATAGATGGTGGGGGAGATGGAAAACGAACAGGTGAATAATTACATGAAGGTGACAGTTTCCAATAGTGGTGGTACTAAGGAAAATCAAGCACATGTTTCTTATCATTAGTTATTAGGGAAATATAAATTAAACCACACTGAGGTCCCACTGTGTATCATTACAATGACCTTTTAAAAAACTGGTTAGACCAACATAGGATGAACAGATAATGATGAATGGATAAAGAAATCAACAGATGAATAGATAAAGAAAATGTCACACACACACACACACACACACACACACAGTAGAATATTACTCAGCCTTAAAGAAGAATGAAATGATGGCATTTGCTGGTAAATGGATGGAACTGGAGACTGTCGTGCTAAATGAAATAAGCCAATCCCCAAAATCCAAAGACCAAATGTTCTCTCTGATACGTGGATGCTGACACACAATGCAGGGAGGGGCAGAAAACAGAAGTTCATTGGATTAGACAATGGGGAATGAAGGGAAAGGAGGGGGATGGGAATAGGAAAGACAGTAGAATGAATTGGACATAACTTTCCTATGTTCCTACATGAACACACGGCCATTGTTAACTCCACATGATGTTCAACCACAAGAATGGGAAGCTATACTCCATATATGTATAATATGCCAAAATACGGTCTACTGTCATGTATAATTAAGAATAAAAATTTTTTAAAAATTGATACCATGAGCCTTGTGGAAGATAGAGAAACTGGACCTTCCTAGTTTGCTGGTGAGAGAATCACATGACTACTTTGGCAAACAGCTTGGTAGTTTTTTACAAAGTTAAAAGGATGCTCACTATACAACTTGGCCATCGACTGCCAGGTACCTACCACAAGAAATAAGAACTTAGTTCAGGCAGAAACCCATCTGTGAATATCTGTACTGGCTTTGTTCATAATCTCCCAAAACTGATAACGATCCAAATGTTCTTCAACTAACTAGTGAATGGATAAACAATGGAATACTACTCAGCAATTGAAAAAAAAAAAAAAGAATGAAGTTCTGGCATGAGACAACACAGATAAATCTTGAGTGCCTTGTGCTAAGTGAACCAAGCCCTGCTCGCAGCTGCATAGAGATGCCTCCCTTGGTAGACACTGGAAAAGGCGAAACTGCAGGGACAGAAAACAGATCTGTGTTGCCAGGGGCTGGGAGTGGGACTTGACTGCAAAGGGACAGCCCTTGGGATTTGGGGAACTGATAGAATTGTTCTATACCTTGATGGAGGTGGTGCTGACCTGACTGCAGGCAGCTGTTGAAGCTCATGGAACTGCACACTAGAAAGGGTGGATCTTACTGTGGGAGAATTACACCTCGGTCAGCCTGCCTGGAGGAAGGCTCACCGTGGGACTGTTGAAACAGGGACATGATCAGTAACGGAGGCAGGCAGTGGGTCATGGAGGACCCCCACCCTCTGTGGTCAGGGGGCGCTTTCTGACGAGGTGCCTGGATTAAGGCCTGGCCTAAGAGAAGCCAGGCAGAGGACAGCAGGGGGCAGGGGCCTTATGGCCAGAGTCAGTGAGCAGGAAGAGAGGGTGGGAGACGGGTCTGTGTGCAGTGGCTAGCGCCCTGCAGGCCAGGTGAAGGGACTTCTTCTGGGCATAGCAAGTGGCCAAGGGGGTGTGCAGGGTGAATGAAGCATGGGTTTGGGTGGGATGGTCCAGGAAGAGAGAGAAGGGAGACAGTGACTGTGCTAGGAGTGATGTGACCATGTCTAGGAGTGATGAGGGGTGCCGTGCACCATGAGGAACTTCCCCAGGAGGGGTGCCAGTCAAGGGCTGAAGTAGGAGGGCTGATAGGGGTGCAGGAGGGTGTTGTGGGGTGGTGAGGCAGAAGCCAGACATCCTGGGGGCTGAGGACATGTACCCGAAGCTTCCAGAGGCAGAGGACGGACTTGATGGGCAGCCTGGCAGGCCTCAGAGAGGACAAGGGGAGGCCGTTCTGTGAATCTGTGTGACCAGAACAGGCAGGAGTGGGGCTGGCCCGTGGCAGGTGTTGAGAGACGGGGAGAAGGGAGGGACTTGGCCAGGTGGACAGGGCCTTGTGTGCCAGGCCAGGGGGTTGATGTTCCTGGGCTCTGACTGGTCAGGGCTGGTCGCTCCAGGTGCTGAGGGAGTAGGAAAGAGGCTGGGGCTGAGAGGCCTGTGCTGTGGTGGTGGCAGCGCTGAGCCCCGCTGGCTGGGCCGTGGGATTGAGCTGGCAGCCTGTGCTGAGATGGGGCCCCCGGGTGACAGGAAGCCATTTATTGCACTAATCTTCTTGCTCTTCCCCACAGTGCATGCTGGGAACGCGAAGGACAGTTTGCTGCTCCCCAGGCCCCCAGAGGCCGGTCTGTTTGCCTCCAGGCACCATCTGACCCAGGTAGGGTGAGATCCAGGTGGGCTCTTCATGCCTCGCGCCTCTATGGAGTGGGAGGGCTCGGAGCATAAGGATCAGGTCCCCTGGGCCATGCTGGCCCTCTGAATGAGCCCCGGCCAGGGGCAATGGCAGGGGGACACAGTGTGGGGTCTGAAGGCCCCTGAAGCAAAGGGCCCCTGGGAGGCGCTTCCCACCTCTGAGAAGGTGGGCCAAGCCTGCAGCCATCTGTCCTCACCAGCTGCATCCCGGGGCACTGATGGGACGCGTCGCTCCTGCGGCCCACTTAGGCTCTTCATACGCTCGGTGTCTGGTTGCTTGGGATCTGTTGCACGACCCACATCTGCCAAGCACTTCGGCTGTAGGAGGTTTTGCATCCGGGTTCCCCCGCGCTGCTCTCACTCCGACTTTTCGCTGCCCTGCGTCACGGTGCCTGGCAGCTCGTGCTCTGGAAGTTCCCTCTCTCTGTGGAACTCCTCCCGGAGGGGATGCTCCTCCCTGCACCAGGAACGGGTCATCTCCGTTTCTGGTCCTTTGTTCCTGGGCGTCCCAGTTGATGGCTCTCTTTTGGTTCGTTGTCCCCCCAAGGGATGGAGTGGGGATTGGGGTGGCCAGAGAAAGGTACAGATGTGCAGTTGATTTTGAACTTCAGACAACCAATCATGTGCTCGTGTAACAATGTCCTGAATATCGCATGGCACGTACAGTTCTGCTAAATCTGGCAATCCCTGTGGGGGCCGAACCTCCAGTCTCCTTCCTCAACTGGCCAGTTCTCTCCTGGGTCCTCTGGGCCTCCTCAGATCTGCCGCCTCCAGTGCCTGTGGCAGGTCTGCCGGAGCCAGGCGTGGCCAGGCCTGCTCAGGCCCTCATCAGTGCGCACTTCTGTGTGCCCCAGGTTCCACAGGCTGTCCCCAGGGCTGGTGGGGGCAGCAGCCTTGGCCTCAGGAGTGTGATAGAGTTCCTTGTCCCTCTCTGGCCATCCAGGCTGCAGAGGTCATGGGGTGGGGTGGGCGGGGCCTTGGTGCTGTGAGCAGGGCTGTGGGGCGGAAGTGGAGCTGGACGGGATCAGGAGTGGAACCTGGCTTTGGCTTGGTGGGGTGGGGAGAGGCCACACAGACGAGGCAGGGCCCCAACGTGGAGCGTGGAATGTCCCCCCTGCAGGGCCAGAGGAGGTGTTTTCTCCCCAAACAGAATCATTTTTTTGGAGATTAAAGTAATATGTTCTCCATATGTTATTAATCTACCAACCTACTTACCTGTCTGCCCACTTGTCTACCTACCTAACCTGCCTATCTACACCCTAACCTACCTACGGACCTAGATAACCTGCCTATCTACCAACCTAACCTACCTACCTATATACCTACTTGCTTAACCTGCCTATCTACTTAACTACCTAACCTACCTATCTACCTACCTGTATAACCACCTGTCTACCTACCTGACCTACCTACCTACATCCTTCCCTGACCTGCCTAACTTACCTACCTGGAAGACTCTAAAAGGGTACAATTGGAAACCTTCCCATAATCCTTTCCCCCAACGGCTAACTAACCACTACTAACTACTTAGATATATATTCTTCCAGACTTCCCCCTTGGCACTTATAAACACATTCACAGGGGAAACCGCGGCTCGTGCTAGTCCCTCCACTCCACCACTTGATTTTCCCCTGAACAGCGTGTTGCGTGGACCCTCAGCCTTGTCCAGAGTTCTTCCCTCTCCTTCTCTATGTTTTGGGTGGATGGTCTGTAAATTCTTCATCAATTATTCATCCCGTCGGAGGCCATCTAGGCTGTTTCCAGCAGTTGGCTATTTATAACCCTCACTGAGGGAACCTCTGAGTCCGAGCATCTGTGGGTCCTTCATGTTTCTGGAAGTGGTCTGCCTGGGTCAGGGGTCATGTGCTCCGTACGGCCAGATAAGCTCCAGAAGGTTGTGCTGGCTTAGGCTCCCACCGTGCAAGGGGTATTTGCCCTTGCCAACCATGGACGTCACCAGTCACTTAAGTCCCTGCCAATCTGATGAGTAAAAATACTTTTACTTTACATTTCTTTGATCATTAAAGAGAGGATCACAGAGCACTGTCGTGTGGGCTTTGGGACTCTTTGTATTTCTTCATTTGTCAGTTGCCAGTTCCTGTCAGGTCCTCAACTCATTTTTCTTTGCATGTGTCCATTCATTCAGTAAATATTTATTGAGCACCTACTATGTGTTGGACAGTGTTTGGGTTAGGAACCTCACAGTGTACAAAACTGACAAAAAAAAATTGCCTGTTCCATGGAACTTCTGCGCTAGTGGAGGGGAGACAGCCAAGGAAGAAGAGATAAGTATGTGAAATACACTGCGCATGTGAGAGCTGAGCGTTAGGAAAGGGGGAAAAAGCCGGGGGATGGGAAACTTGGATGTGATTGTCAGGGAAGGCCTCAATAGGAAGTGGCATTTAAGAGAGAGGGTTGTGTAGATGTCTGAGAGAAGCGTGTCCAAACTGAGGGAACAGTGTGCATGAGGACCCTGAGTCGAGAGGGCCTGGGCTGGAGGGGGGGCAGTTCAATCCCCATTATCCAGCCCTGCCTCACCCCGTGGAGAGGCCCGTGTGGCTGGGACAGGTGAACGTGGGAGATTGGGCGTGGCCAAGAAGGGATCAAGAGTGGAATCAGCAGGGCCTTGTGAACCACCCAGAAGACTTTGGCTTTTACTCAAAAGGTGGTAGGAAGAGCCACGGAAGGTTCTGAATTACATTTTGCCCAGATCCCCTGGCAGCTGTGAAGCAGAGAGATCAGTCAGGGGGCTGTTGGTTGCTATGCTCCAGGGAGCACATGGTGGGGACTGGGACCAGGGGTCTGGGTGGAGGTGGGGACGACTGGGCAGATTCCAAGGGCAGGTTCCAGGTAAAGCCAATGGGACTTGCTGGGAGATTGGCTGAGGTGGTGGGGGAGACAGAAGGGAGCTGAGGATGACTTCTAGAGTTCTGGCCCACATACAGGTTGCGTATCCTTCTCTGAAATGTTCGGGACCAAAAGTGTTTTGGATTTCTGATTTTTTTTTTTCAGACTTGGGGAATATTTGCATATAATGAGGTATCTTGGGGATGGGACCCAAGTCTAAACATGAAGTTCATTCATGTTTTATAGGCTCCTTATCCACATAGCCTGAAGGTAGTTTCACATAATACTTTTAATATTTTTTGAGCATGAAATGAAGTTTCAGTATGTGAACTTTTTCACTTGGAGTGGCATTTCAATGCTCAAAAAGTTTTAGATTTTGGAGCATTTCAAATTTTGGAGATTCTGATTCTGAACTTGTAGGGTGGGGTGCCACTAGCAGAGATAGGGAACGGTGGAAGAGAGCGGGCTGCGTGGGCAGAGCGAGCCCATCTGTGGATGGGAGCAGCTGCGTGATGTATGGAGCCCAGAGCAAAATGGCCATGGGTGGCCCTTTGTTTAAAAAAAAATCAGAATTTCAAAGTAGAGAATTACACGAGGCCTGGGCCCATGTTGCACATCATGATTTAGCCCTGCCTGGGCGTGCTCAGGGGAGATGCCAGCAGACCTCTATACAGAGCTGTGGAGCAGATAGGTGGACATAGAGACTGCAGTTCAGGGGACGGGTTTTCAACTGGAGGTACAAACTTAGGGTCATTGGCTTGAATATAGTGTTTAAAGCCATGAGATTGGATGAGAGCATTGAAGGAGTGAATGTAGATTAAAAGAGAGAGAGAGAGAGAGAGAGAGAGAAGGACCAGAACCCTAGGTCATGTATGACTGCACATACGTCGTGACGCTACATGGTGTACGACCAGAGAAGTGAAAAGTTGTGCTGCAACTGTGTACAGTGAATCAAAGTGCATTCTGCTGTCATATACACCTAATTAAAATAAATAAATAAATAAATTTTTAAGAGAGAGAGAGAGAGAGAAGGACCAGAGACCCAGACCTGGGAGCTTCATCAGCTAGAGGTTGGGAAACGGGAGGAACGGAAAAGGGGGTGGTGAGACCAGGCAGGAGTGACGGACTGGAAGCCACAAGCATGGTATATTTCAAGCATGTCACATGGGCTGAGAGAGGTTGCAGGGTGCAGATGAGAATTGATCCTTGCGTTAGTAACACAGAGATCACAGGTGGCCTTGGTTTCAGTGATGTGGCGGGGAGGCATTGAAATGTATCTTATTGATTTGTAAGAGCAAATTGATGCATAAGAGGTTAAAGGATTTAACTCCTTGTTACGTGTTGCTAACAGTTATTTACAGGTTTGATTTTTGTGCTTTTTTTTCTTTTAATTTAATTTAATTTTTTTTTAACTCCTCGAAAGTTCAAAATTGTTCTGGTGGTTCAAATCTGCAACTCTTTTTTCTTAGAGTTTCTGATCTAACCACTTGATTTAAAAAAAAAAAAAATGTCCTATATTGTTTTCTAGTTGTTTAGCAGATTTAAAAGTATTGAAATCTCTATTTCTCCTGGAATGGGCTGGTGTGTGTGGTTTGAGGTAGGGATCCAAACGCCCAGCCAGTCGTTGCGATGGTATTTATTAAGTGTTCTCTCCTTGCTGAACTGGAGCACCATGCCTGCCGACTGCTAAGTGTCCCCGTAGGCTCGTGTCTGTCCAGACCTCCCTGTTCAATTCCATTGATCTTTGCCTGGGGAGAGATTTAGGAAGTGAGAGGATAGACTCAGTGATTGACCAGGCTCAGCTGGAGGAGGCAGGAGGAGTGGAAAGAGTTACCCACACTGTGGGGATGAGAGGGCTCGAGTGTATCTCAGGGTATCCTGTGTGCTGGGCACAGGGGGCTTTACTAGTCAGCTTGTCAGTTTGCACCTCAATTCTGCAAGGTTGGCATTCCATTTCCCCGTCTGCACACAAGGAGAGTGAGATTCGGGAAGGTTTCATTTCTTGTCCAATGGCATCACCTCACTGGTGTGATGCTGAGACTGGAAGGCTTTGGCTCCCACGCCTGCATTGGTCCTCCTCAGGGAAGGGGGTGGTGAGGAGCAGGGCTCAGTAAGATT